ATTTGTGGTACTCTTTTGTACATATGTGGATGTGTTTTGCAGTATACATAATACACCCGCTGCAGAATACACATACACACGAAGGATCGTGTGAGACGGAAAGTTATGTTGAGAAGTGTAACAAGAGATTTGGACCATTGAGCACTTTTAATCTCATGTCCACCCATGAATTGCACTAGAGAATTGATCTTGTGCATTTCATTAGTGTTGACATTCAATTATCAGTCTAAGAGTGGAGATATTTCTTACGTTTCTTAGCATAACTTCCTTTTCAAGGTTAGTATGACCGAATCGTCATAGATTTTTAATGGAATAGTTGGATAGCGGTATTTTCAAACCCATAACAATAAGGGAGCATCCTCCCAAAGTTATACAGTACAATACGACATACAGAAGCATATTTCTAATGGAAAATCCATGTAAGAGCCTTAATAACAATCTTACTTGCTTTGTAGTGGTTTCAAGACCTTGAACATTGAGACCATAACAACTTTTGCTTGTGAATAACATCCACTAACTTGCATCTTTTGGGCCAATGACTTCTTACTCGTTACTTATTGCCTCATCTTTCTATGTCACTCACTACAACAAAATTGGGTTTATAAGACACCCTCAATCTCTAAGTGTCTCAATAGACCGCTTTATAGAACTTAATTTATAAGACCATTATATAAAGTGTCCTATCGTGTTGTAATAAGTTTATATGACGCTTTTGGGCGTCTTAACAAAGTTTAAGACATTTTTAATATAAAGTGTAGCATTAGTAACTTTATTGGACACTTTCTCAAAAGTATCCTATAAACTCAATTTTTTATAGGACATTTGTTTTTATAGGACAATTTTTCAAATAGTGTCCTATAAAGTTGCTAATAAGACGATTTATATTAAAAGTGTCCTTAAAAAAACTTATTAGGACATCAAAAAACGTTATATAAACTTATTACAACGCTTTTAGATAGAACACGTTGTTTTTGGGTCCTATAAACTAAGTATTATAAAGAGGTCTATTAGGATGCTTAGAAATTGAGAGTGTCTCCTATAAACTCGATTTTGTTGTAATGACTCGTACAAGTTTAAATCACAAACTTTTTAACCATAAAAGCTAAAGTAGAAATTTATATATCAATCTAAAAACTTGGTAGGAATTCATATATCAGTCAAAAAAACTAAGACTTTGAAAGGGTCTGGTAATCACCCCATGATGTTCCTCGCATGCACGTTTATGATCATCGTAAGGTAATAGAGACTATTATCATGTGCAAAATCATTAATTGGCAACGACAAGAAAGTTATCCAATGAAGATCGGGCAGTAAGCCAGTCATAAACATAGAATATCAACCATGTGGCTTCCTCATTCAAGATTAACAAAATGTGGAAGCCAAATATATAGAAATGATGAAAAGATTAAGCAAAGAATCCAAGAAAATGATTAGAATCATATGAATCAATGGAGATAATAGAATCAGTAGAGATGTATTCTTACGGTTGGTGTTGCAGTTTTTGTTTAAAAGAACAAAGAGTTGGATTATTGCATCCCAAAATTCGGCTTCTTGTTTACCTCTTTTGGTTTAGGTATGGGTGACATGTTCGTAGGGTTAAAAATTTGGAGGATACAACGTCTTCATCTTGATATTGTTCTTTTGTTATTTGTTCTTTAATCGATTGGTTTGGCTACATCAGTTCTTTTGCTATTTAGGCTCTGGTTAAAGATCTTGTATCTATGTTTTGATTCAATTTTTTGTTTCTAAAATTTGATTTACAAATGTTTAATATAAAACAAAGGGTAAAATAGTCATTTTAAGCACTCAGATTGTTTATTCAGCATAACAACCAAATAACGACTTATCAAATATCACACAGACAAATTTATCAATACATACATCTTTATCCATACATGACATAATGAAAATGAACTGAACAACCCCTAACTACCTTTGTAAACTACCCTTAGTCACGAGTATAGATTATAGTGTTATCAGGGCCTTTGAATTCGTCCAAAGGGAATTCGACTCAGGTTTGAGCGAGGGTATCTTCTTTAGGGTCTGTGCGTATTCGCTTAGCCATTATAGCGGTAAGTTCTTTTCTTCGAAGAGCTTTCCCAACTCAAATAATTGGTTTTCCTTTTTCCTTGATTGAAAGAGTAAGACCGATCTTCATTCCTCTAGCCGGTAGTCTATCTATGAGAGAGAGTTCATGTGCTTGCAGTGGTAGAACAATTCGCCTATTGTAAGAGTAAGGGTCATTGCCTTCAATCGGTAAATAGATCGATAAACCACAAATACATAAATTAACGAACCATTTTTCACATATGACATTTCACCCCAGATTTCTAGGCTGCAACACAAATACATGACCCAAATCAAAACAAGACTACCAAATAGACCACTAAAAACATGAAATTAATGAACCATCATTCAAATGAATCAAATCAGCAGCAAAAACTAACCGGGTAATTGAAACAGAAATGGAATCAGAAAATATAGATCCGTTGAAATCGAAAGTGATACAAGTATTTCATAATCGAAATGGTAACAATGATTTTAGCAAACCTAGAACCCTAACCTAATGAGTTCACCAACCTTGAACCCAAACATTATACTTGTTCCTTCTTTTTGATGAGAAGTAGGTAGGTTCATTATGGTCAGTGGTGTTTCCTTCGATTTCACTCGATGGCCGTCGAGATTGTGAAGAGAGGAGGCGATGTTCACGATCGAAGAAACGAGGAAACTTAGAGAGAGCATGAGCCGTTCTAGGAGCGGGAAGGGTGTGAGAGTGGGACGATGTTATTGGGAGAGAGTGTGGAATACAAATTCGAAACACAAACATGAAAAAGTAAATCTCAAAAGTCAACTTCTATTAAAGTGATCTAAAAACTAACCTTAAAAGATCACGGCATCAACAATTTTTTGACTTTCTTGCATAAAATGGTTTACTTTGTGCTTGATGACTTGTTTTTAAGAGTTTTTATATGAATGAAATATAAGGTAGTATATATATATATATATACATATATATATATGTATATATATATATATATGTATACGACTTGTGCCACACACATTAGATATTGTGTAAGATATTAAGTATTATCCCACGGTAACCAATATGGCGCATCATGCCATACGACTTGTGTATAACGTCATATTAACTGTATGACATTCCGTGGGTCAATGTATGGTTTGTGTAACGCGACATTTGATTTTCTTACATTTTTAGTGTCTTACATTTTATTGTTCAGTATATAATCTAACTCAAATTGCTTAATATCATTTGACTCATTTAGTAATAGTATAAAATATATGTGTATACATATAATTATGCATATGATATTAAAAAAATTCGCCATAAATCACGTCTTGAAAAACGTCATGGCCTCACCGTGTGGCTCCTAAGGCTTGAGACTTGACCTTGTCATTATGCCACGCCCCACACCTTTTAGAACCTTGGCAATAATACATATCATTTTCCATATAAACCCTAGTTTGGTGAGACACTTATATCCATGGGATTATGGAGGGTCAAGCAATGAAAAGTCACCTATTTCATACGGCTACAAGTAATTAATTATACGTAAACTTACAATTTGAGTCATTCTGTCAAGTTCTCACTTGATTCTAACATTGACGGTTTTAATCACACAAGATTCCATCGTCGTCTGGAAAAGCAAGCCATTAATTTGTTTATCCTAGATCTTGTGACTTTTTGTTTTCACAGTTACATCTTGCGGTAATATGAGCTAGTGACTACAATTGGTTAGCACGAATACAACCTTTTTAATGTGATTCTTTACATTACTAAAAAACTGGGTGTCACCGACAGATTTTTCTGGCGGATTTTACATTGGAAAACTTCCAACTCCAACGGATCTCGAAAAACTAAAAAAAGATAAGTCAACATTTGTCGACTTCCACCATAGATCTGTTATTGAATTTAAAAATAAATAAATAAAAAATTATCTCAATAACTTCTCTGACGAATTTATGATGGATTTTTTACTTATTTATTATTTTAAAAACCGTCACAAATTCGTTGGAAATCAGTCACAAATTGGTCTAATTTTTTTTAAAAAAAAGTTAATTAATGTTAATTAACTATCATTTCCGATGGATTCTAATTAATTATTTATATATACGAATTCCGTTGGAAATTATTTACAAAAATGTTTTTGTATTTTATTTTCTTCCATAAACTATTTTTAAAAGAAAATTTTATTTTTAAAATTTCCGACGGAATTTAACTTCTTAAATAAAAAATTAAATTCCGTCGAAATTCCGCCAGAAAAGTTTTAGAGTTCTCAAACCGATTTACTTTTCTAAAATGTCCTATCAAACCCATTTAATATCGATCCACATCAGACCAATATGGCAAACATCACATAAGTCGATTGGAGTTGCTAGTTAATTCGAATTGGAAAATATCAACCACTAATGTCCATAAGTTGATCCCAAAAGGTCCCGAATAACACAGAAACCCTCAAAGTCACAAGAAAATATCCACCCAACGGCTGACCCAAGATTTTGCCAAGCGTGTGCACATCAAGGCCCGTAAAGTTGCTCAATGTGTTTTTACCCGAATTACACATTTCAAGAGTTGTTTTTTGGTTGATTTCGCGAGACTTTTCGGGTTTTTTGTTGATTTTTCGATGGATTTTTTTGGTTGATTTCAAAGGATTTTTTTTTCCGGTTTTCTAGTAGATGTTCCTTATATTTTCTAATATCACGGAACATCCATCAAAGTTTACAGGGTGCACTTTTCATACCTACAAAAAAATTCTACTTGTGAAAATAAGTTGAATGGGTACACAGACCTCACTCGGGGCTTCATAGGTCTGCCACGGCAAGTACAACACTCTCCGTTGATGCATAAACCCACAAACAATACTTGAACCACTTAATAACTTGAGCAATGAATCCTCGAATAGTTCAAGCACTAGGGAAACAAATTAACAATCATACATAAAACCCACGGATCAAAAACAAAAGAAGCCAGAAATTAGAAAATGCTGAAAAACATTAAAATGCTTTTTGATGCCCAAAACGAGTTCCCGAAGTCCACACTGACATGGAGGCTTGCGGAGTTTTGGTCTGACAATGCTTAATCTTCTCTTCTAGCTATATCTACAACCATTCGTCCTACATCAGATAGCTTCATATCAATGATGTTGACATGTAAGCTTGCAACAACTATAGTTTCTCTATGAAGTTTACTTTATTACAGTTGATTAAAGGATTTCATTTGTTAGTATATATGGTTATTTATTGCTAATGATTATAAGATTAATAGGAAGGAACAATACAACCAAGAACATATATAACTTTTCGTGGAAAACCCTTTTAAGGGAAAACCCATGGGCACAACCGATGATTTCACTATAGCGAATACGAAGGGAGTTACAACAATGCAAGGGAACTTTTTCTACTTCTCTACGTTCTTCCCTGCAGCTAACAAGGGATCTATTTATATGTGTACATAATGATTTTGAATAGGAGTGTTTAATATAATCAGAGCTTATCCTATGCTATAGGACTAAAGACGTAGGAGCTTAGAACTTATCCGAAATAGGTGCTGGAAATTCGAATCATATTTCAACATTTATTTATAAGATATGATACACAACCCAAGACTCTTTATGTTTCTTTTCTAGTCTTCCTTCACGGGCTTGTGATCTAGTCCTTGCGTTTATCCTCTGTCATAGAATCTAGATCTTTAGGTTTGTTAATGCTTACAATAGTATGTTGAGGTTTTCCCATTACTCCTTTGTTGATTTACAACTGCCAAGAGTACTCTTGGGAAGTTATGAGAGATCAGTACTAGCTCTTTTAATTGTATGTAAAATTTGCATTCGCCTTAAAGAGGGCCGATAAAGATTTCCCTTGCCTTGTTAAACCATTTGAAAGAGAGCATCTCTATTGCTTTCTTGGCTGTAGTCGCTCCTACATGCAAAGTTATCATAAATTATCATACAACTTCATCATTGAACACTTCAGTTTCTACACTGAGCTAATGAGGATGTAAAACTATTCTAATTTTTTTATATGAAGCAAAAGATGATTGATTATACTGTGAACACCCACACCTATAAGTTGTCGGTGGGATGGCAGTTTTATCATTGTTCTCACATTATCTTAATTAGGGAATACTAAAATTACAAATGAATTGTGGTCTAACAGTTTGATGTACGTTATCATAAATTGCTCTTTTTGTTTCATCAGGGGGATCTTTGAGGCTATTGCAAATCTAACTTCTCCAGAAATGGTGGAGGTGGTGATTGGTTGTGCGGGTAATCTTATAGCTAAAATTGGAGAAAAGCTGATTGCTGAGACTCGCCGTCATCTGGGATACGTGCTTTACTACCACAACTATGTTGAAAGTCTAAAGCAACAAGTGGAGAAGTTAATGGTCAAATCAGAAGGAATCACGCTAGAAGTGGAAGAAGCAAGAAGAAACGGAGACGTTGTTGCACCTGAAGTTGAGCAGTGGTTTACAAGTGTGGAGGTAATTTATGAAGAGTCTATGAGATTCCTCGAAATTGAAGTTCGAGAAAACAAGGGTATCCTGAATGGTTGGTTTCCAGACATCAAAAAACGTTACATCTTAAGCAAAAAGGCAAAGAGGAAGACTCAGAAGGCTGCAACACTAAAAGCTGAAGTATTTCATAAAATATCCTACCCAGCACCTCCGCTAGCAGTAGGAGACAGATCTATAGGAGATTTTAGAAACTTTGAATCAAGAATACCAATCATAGATCAGTTGATGAAGTTGCTAAAGGATGACACAAAACAAATTATTAGTATATGTGGTATGGGAGGATCAGGAAAGACAACAATGGTGAAGGAAGTCGCCAGGCGTGTACAAGGGGAGAAATTGTTTGATGAGATCACAATGGCAGTGGTGTCCAAAGAACACAATCTGATGAAGGTTCAAGAAGATCTAGCAAAATGGTTGGGCTTAAGATTTAAAGCCACGACTTTAGAAGGAAGGGCGAATGAATTATGGAGACGGCTACTCCAAAGCAGGAAGGGAAATCTTGTGATACTTGATGATATATGGAAACACATTGATTTGAAGAATATTGGAATTCCTTTCGGAAAAGAATACAAAAATTGCAAGGTAATTTTGACGTCACGAAGCAAAGATGCCTGCAAAGCAATGGGATGCGAAGATGTTCTATTACTTGATATATTAACACCATCAGAAGCATGGAGTCTTCTGGGAGAGATGGTTGGTGATGATCTGCAAGATGATCCTGATCTCTGTGAAATTGCGTCTGAAATTGCAAAAAAGTGTGGTGGTTTACCTATTGCGATAGTATGCCTCGGTAGGGCACTGAAGGACAAAAGGAAAGAAGTGTGGAAGGATACATTATTAAAACTGCAGAGGTCTGTTGTACCAACAAATATTGAAGGTGTGAAGGAAGATGTTTATCAATCTCTGCAAGCAAGTTATGATCTTTTGGAGGATGAAGAAGCCAAGAAACTCTTCCTCTTATGTTGTCTATATCCAGAATATGCAAATGTCCCCCTTGAAGCATTAGTACGTTGTGGATTTGGGTTAGAGTTCTTTAAACACATTGACTTTATAATACAAGCAAGAGATAGAGTACACGCACTCACTGATAAACTTAGAAGTCGTTTTCTATTGTTAAGTGGAGATAGGAAGTCTACTGTGAAGGTACACAATGTTGTACGTGCTGTGGGTATATCAGTTGCATCTAGATTGGAACCAAACATGGAACAATTCAGTGCAGTGGTGATGCATGAGGACAAATGGCCTAGAGGCATGACCTATGGACAATACAAAGCCGTTTCAGTTGTGTCAAATGAGATATCTGAGCTTCCTTCACGTGGATTGAGTTTCCAAAAACTTGAACTTCTGCAACTTGCATGCCCAAAGCTCTCTTTAGAGAAATTGAATACCATGTTTGAGACGATGAAGAAGGTGAGAGTTGTTGAATTGTGGAATTTGTCACTATTATCATTCTCATCAATCCTCTCTTCTTTGCCAAGAGATATTTTCGCTCTGTCTATGGACTGCAAAATGGAAACTATTGGAGATATTAAGACGGAGGAGTTTGTGAATCTTGAAATACTAAGCTTGGGAAATTGTGATATTACAGAGTTGCCAATGGAGATAGGAAAATTTGCTAATTTGAGGCTGCTAGACATGAGTGGTTGTCGTTGGCTTGAAAGGATCTCACCTGGTGTCATCTCAAACTTGTCTCAACTAGAAGAACTAGACACTGGATCGAAGTGGTGGGGAGATGAAGAAGAAGGTGATACAAGCCTCACCGAGCTAGAATCCTTGACTAATTTGAAATATTTAGGGATTCGCATTAAATCTTCAAATTTCCTCCCTAAAAAAGGTCTTTTTGAAAAGCTACAAAGGTATGTAATTTCTGTAGGAGTTCATCTTGAAAAATCACGTTCCTTCAATAAGAGGATCTTATTGCTGAAGCTTGAGATTACAGATAGACATTTAGGTGGTGGCATCGACAAGTTGTTGCGGATGAACACTGAGATTGTATTCTTGACTGGAGATGGTATAAAAACTGCTCTGAAGGAGCTAGTTCCTTCTGGTTTTCAGCAAGTGAAGAATTTAACCGTCGAATGCTGCAACAGTGAAGGGACAGAGTATCTTTCAGATTCCAGTTATACATCAAATAGTGCTGGTGTCTTTACTAATTTGGAAAAACTGCGTATGGAAAAAATGTGGCATTTAAGAGGAATACTACGTCATGATGGCCAAGGGCTTCCAATTAGATCATTTTCTAGATTACGCAAGATCCATCTGTCTGTTTTACCTGTAATTACCTATCTGTTTACACAGTCAGTAGCAACAAACTTGGTGCATCTGGAAAGCCTTCGCATAGAATATTGTACAAATATGGAACAAGTCATTTTCAACCCAAGGCCTTCGGCATTGGCAAGTACCATTGAAAATAAGATTGTGTTCCCGAAGTTATCCGAACTAATCCTCAACTATGTAAGCCTCGCTTGTTTCTCCCATGGTCTCAACCTGCAAGTTGAGTTTCCGCAGCTAACAGTTCTAAAGCTTGAATATTTACCGAATTTCCATACCTTTTGTCCTGAAGAGATCAATCCGGCTTCCAAGGGCAATCTCAAAGGCACTAACTTCCATTATCTGGTTGACAATAAGGTTTATCTCCTTCTACATGCCAATTGCACACTAAAATTGCCAAATTTGAGCATTTTCTAAACTCTTTATTGGATGAAGTAGATATATAGAAACTGAAATCGTGCAAAGCATCAATGATGACATTTTTTTACTTTGTAGTTTATCAACTTGAAATAAAGTTACAGTATTCATCTAAACATAGCATGGCATATTAGATTTTTAGTATGCTTGATTAGAAGAAAATTTTCCTCATTTATATTATCTGCCTCTAGTTAAAATCAAGTTGGCATTGATCTTTGTGAAGTATGAGTATCGTACGAGCATCCCAGATTCACACAAGAAATTTCGTTTCTTGAGTGTAAAATTGCTGTCTTTAATTGGTTTCTCTATATGGTAGGATTTGGGGTATCCTACTTGCACCTGTTGCAGTTGTTTCATTTTATCAACAATGGAGATTGAGGAACGTCTTGGTGAATTAATCATTTAGACTTTTAAGTTTTCAAGTGTTCAAAAAAATATCTGAGTGTTGATGAACATATATTCACTGTATTACGTTTCAACGAATTTTGTTAAGTTAATATGCTTCCTGAAACTTTCTAATATGGTTTTGTTATAAATTTCATAAGTTACATATGTTCTTTGTTAAACATATGACATATTACTCCCAGTTACCTAATATGTCATTGCCAGCTGCAACTTTGTGCTTTTTATGTAAGATCTATTATCCATCATGCTAAATCTTTGCAGATTTGCTTAATTTAAAAATATTCTTTGACACATGTACAATCTAAAATTATGTAGGTTGAATTTTCAAGATTGGCTGAATTGACAATCAGCAACATTGACAATATTAAGGAAGTTTGGTGCGGTCACCTTCCTAATCTAGTGCACCTACAAGGACTCTATATTCAATTCTGTCACATGATGGAAGAAGTGATTTCAATCCAACGACATTCCATAACTACAATGGGAGAAACGATTGTGTTCCTTCAATTAAAAGAAGTAATCCTTTTTGGATTGAATAGGCTCACCTTTTTCTGCCAAGGGGTTGAGCATGTTCAGTTTCCCCAATTGAGAGTTTTACGACTTCGTTGGCTAACACATTTCAGAACTTTCTGTCCTGAAGAGACTACTGCTCACACATCCTCGGTCTTTAATGACAAGGTATGAATTGAACTTACATAAATATGTTAATTGATCCACTTTTTTCGTTCATCAAGTCATGAACTGGTAATGAAGGTGCGCATACTCGAACAAACTAGCCCTTTATTCAGTTTAAGGAAAAAATTATATAGTACTCCATATTCTTGCTTATATTAATTAGCTCAAAAAGATGTTTCAACTTCATGTATCTTCGAAACAGATCTGTCAATCTACTTAATTGGTATGTTTTTGCGATGTCTATGAATTGTCTTGCAACATGAACTCTTTTAATATGAGCTGGTTATATTGTGTTAGGTCACTTTTCCTAGTCTGGAGACACTTGAATTGTCTGAACTGGACAGTGTTGAGGAGTTATGGTCCAGCCAACTTCCCACAAGTCAGTTTGGTAAACTAAAATCTCTTAGAGTGGAGAAATGTCACAAACTGATCAACATATTTCCATCAGAATTGGAAACACTATTTCCTAGTCTGGAAAAGTTAGATGTGGAGAAGTGTGATTCACTCGAACAGGTGTGGGGTTCCGAAGGGGTACAAATCAGAAACTTGAAAAGTGTTTTTGTTAGCGAGTGTCCAAAATTGAGAAATCTGTGCTCTTTTTACACATTCAAAGGTCTTCCAAATCTTCAGATTCTAGATGTGTCCAGTTGCAAGATGATGGAGGAAGTAGTGGAAGATGAGCACAAAAATGAAAAAATGAAAGAAGTTGTTTCTCTTGGCAAATTGGAAGAAGTGAAGCTTGCATTTCTGCCAAATCTTAATTACTTCTCTCACACTAAATGTGACATGGAAATGGCAGAACTAACGCAGGTGATCGTCAAGAACTGCCCAGAAATGCATACTTTCTCTGGAAGTTCGGTGACCACACCAAAACTAAAGTATGCAGTGATTGATGATGTCAAGAGCTGGCTGGGTGACCTAAACAGTACCGTGGGGGACTGGTATTCTAGTTGGGAATATTAGGTATGCTATCATTTTCTTTCAACAAAAGGTTCTCATTTCCTCCTTGTTCATTTTGCATTGCAAAATTCCCTTAGTGATTTTTAAGCTTTTCTGGGAAGGTCCTAACTTTAAGATTCTTGTCTCAGTTTGTTTGCCTCAATACCAACTTCTTTGGAAAGTAAAGATGATGCAAGAACGAAAGCTCGGATATATAATGCATAAAGAGGACAGAGAGAATGAAGATAGAACGACAATATTCAAAATCTAGCATGTGACGGGGAGATTGCAGCGTCATTGATTAGGGAAGCTAATTAAGCACGATATTAGCTATGAGTGAGGATGAAAAAATTGAAGCCACGGCAGTCGAAACAGATATTAAGAAGCAGGAGAGAGTGACTACATGATTCCTAATGATCTTACACTTCTTTCTCTTACTCACTTTTTTGTGTCAGGTTTCTGGATGGCAACATTCCTGGTTCAGTAAAATGGAAAACCTTTGACATAGAAGAAAGAGGATGGACAGATAGCTTATGTTCTGCAAGGAAATTGAAGAACACTTACTTCACACATAATGAACACTTGAGAGCTTTAAAATGATTGTTGATGGATTGTAATAACAATATATTATTTGTTTGTGATTTCATTTGAAACAGTGGTTTGATTTAAGCTTTTCTCAACTATGTGAAAAAAATAAGTTACCAACTTCAATCGAATTCCTAATTTACGTCACGTTCCTGAAACATACACTACAACAAAATCTATAGGACACTCTCAAATTCTAAGTGTCCTAATAGACTCTTTATATGACTTAGTTTATAGGATCAAAAAAATAAAGTGTTTTATCTAAAGGTGTTGTAATAAGTTTATATGACGCTTTTGGGCATCTTAACAAGTTTTTTAGGACATTTTTAATACAAAGTGTCGCATTAGCAACTTTATAAGACACTTTTAAGAAAGTATCCTATAAACTCATTTTTTATAGGACACTTGTTCTTATAGGACAATTTTTCAAATAGTGTCCTATAAAGTTGATAATGTATTACAACGTCAAAAAACGTTATATAAACTTATTACAACACCTTTATATATGACAATTTATTTTTTTGGTCCTATAAACTAAGTCCTATAAAGAGGTCTACTAGGACACTTAGAATTTGAGAGTGTCCTATAAACCCGATTTTGTTGTAATGATACTTTGAACCCTTGTTATTTGCACACGATATATTATGACGTTCTTATTGTTATATGTATAATCTTCTTTTAAAAGGCAAACTACAATAATTAAACTGAAAATTGGAGGAGTAATGGAGCATACTTTGGTAATGTAAATAGGGAACGTTATTAGCATAGAAATTGGCCAAATTGTTCAAATGTAATGTGATTTGTCATACATTTTATTTTGCATAATATATTTTCAGAATCTTCGTTTCAGTAATTGAGATGCGACATCTCAAATATTTAAGTATGTAATAACAAGAAAATGTTAAGATCGAGCTACCCGTTACTATAACGAGTATTTTTCAAACTACATTATCTTAATAAAAAAATGAAATGATTCGTATCTCAACAAATCAAGATTCCATATTATGAAATTGTTTTCCCGTCAGTTTTTTAAAAAATCATTCCATCAACGGAAACAACAAATTACAAATGGTATGATTCTCATTTTGTGGTCGATCGTGAGGGCACCGCCCTAGTTTAGCTTTGTGTTGCAAATGTATATCATCGCAATAGATAAAAACTTAAATCCCAAACAAATTTGAATCCTTTATCCTTCCAAAGAAATTAGGGTTTTAAACATTTTGGTTTACGTAGAAAATCGACAGTCGCTTCTCCATGCTTCAACATCGGTGGAGATGAAACAAAATCGACAGTTGATTTACAAGGTTTAAACATTTTGGTTTTACGTAGAAACGCATTTTGTTATTTTGACATTTGGCTATTGATGATTACTTGAAACGAGAGTTAGCCTATCATGTATTTCGTTTTACTTCAAATATAATTTGGCTCATGATGATTAGTTGTTCACCTGATAGATGATTAAAGAAATTCACACTTAAAACTTAAAAGCATAAAGATTTGAATAAAAAGAAAACGTATTTCTCAACGCTTGTGTATGTTATAAAAAACAAAGATTTACGTCACGTGATTTTATACTTTTATGTGTGCACATTTTCTTTTTGAAATATATAGTATTTATATGGCAAATAGAACAAATAAATTCGTACACCCTCCTCACCTTTGGTGAGGTTTGAATTCATGACCTGCTAAGAGGCCAAAAGCTCACATACCGCTAGGCTAAAGGCCCTTTGGTATTTTTGCACATTTTATATTTCACCAATTCCTCAACACTTATATTTGTGTAGATTTAGAACCAATTTATTGTGATACGCAGACACACTTCCTATTACAACAAGAAAGCTTAATTAAATTCACAATTCTAAACAATTTTAAATGTATAAATATGCCCAAAAATGTGTAAAGTTCAATTGATCAGTTGTAGTGGAGTTTATTGCGTCATCACGTTCTCTAGTCAATGTTCATCATCCTATTTATTTCACCCAGGGCCTATAAAATGTCAGAAACGAGCCTGGGACGAGGTTGGGGTGGTGGGCAGGGTTTGGGTTTGGGTTTGGGTTTGGGTTTGGGTAGGGGTGGGCAGGGAGGGTGATAGTTATGACAACAACAATAGTGACATGGTGGTTAGTAGGGTGTGGGTTGGGCGATGGGTGGTAGGGATGGTGATTTGCCCCGAACCGGTGAGGAAACCGACTCACCTGACCCGAACAAGGACGGGGATTCCCCGCTAAAACAGGTCCCGGGACTGGGGATCCCAATAGACTCAAACCGGGGTTGGGGCCGGAACTGGGGAACTCAATGATTAAGTATTCTGTTAGAACTAAGTATTCAGTTAGAACTCAATGATTATCTTAATTAGATTTTAGATTTTTTATATTTAAAATGAGATAGTTTATCCTGTATTTGATTATGTTTATCTGCAGTTACTTAGACGAATTCAAATATGGAGCTTTAATAAGTTGTACTACGCACCATCTACTTGCAATTTTGAGTTTTAATTAATATGCATCAATAAACAGTACTTTACGCATAAAAAATAGTTTTTAAAAGTTTTTATCAAATGCTTTATAATATAGTATAGATAAAATCACTCTTTCATTTTCAATCTCACCTTAGTTCAAATTGAGTCAAATTTTGTCCGGTTTGAGATCAAAATACAAAAACGAGCTCAAAATATACAAGTGAAGTTCAAGTTTGTAAAATCTGAACTCGAATTCTCATCGTCGTTTTCAATAATTCTTAGGGTCGTAGTTCGTCAATAATTATCACTTTTTGGGTAAATCTTCAACTCAAAAAGGTTCAAACTCAAACTACATTAAAGTTATGTTTTGCCCATCAATCATATAATACAACTCCATCACTTGGCAAGGCTTTTATCGCTCGAAGATGAAACACCTGATTACCTATTCAAATTGGACTACGGAAATCAAGTGACAACATAATTTATGTATTTAGCATCAACATAACCAATGGCAACAACGAAACATAAAACTAGTAACAAGGAAACATCATTTTCTGGTAAAATATATAACAAAATTATCGGGTATGAAACTGGAAACAAACACAACTGGGCAAAAAAGCACCTACAAAATTCTGATTTTCAGATGAAAACAGGTACCGGGATATGATATGTTTCACACGTCCTGGATGACTTCTTCCGACACATCCAACAATTCTTCTACCTCAATTTCTTTAGCCTCGTATTCCTCTTCTACGTCACTGGCTTCACCATCTCTCAGCATTTGCCTTTCCATCTTCTCTTCTTCGTGGTATCTCTTCCACTCGTTCACCCACCTTTCCCAATCCTCCTTCAACTGCTTCCTCTTTTCACGATCCTGCTCGCTCAACAGAACCGAGATATCCTGATCCTGTACGTCGTACTTTTTGCTGTATTTCTTTAGGTTCTTTGCAATTTCTTCCTCTTTTTCGGGACTCAAGAAAGACGGTGGCCTTGGCCTCCACAAAAACTGCAATAATCAAACAGTACACAATGATTTTTGCTACAGAATTAGAAGGATGATAGTTTACCAGACTGTGACCAATCGTTGCTCTATCTTATCTTATGTTCTCTTTTTGTATGATGTCGATTTTCAAAAATTGCTAAAGAGTGAATGCTCCCTCCGCGACAAATAAGTGTCCATATCTCTATTTCAGTTTGTTCTAAAATAAGCGCCTATTTTCAAAAGTAAGTGTCTACTTTCCAATTCTACCCTTAATTATAAGATGACGAAATTCATTACTCTGGTAAATTACGATGTGTAATAATCATAAATTTCAATAAATGTGTCTTTCTTTTATTTGGATATTTATCTTGGGACAGAGGGAGTAGATTGATATCTTTGTGAAACTAAAAACAGTGTGTGCGCACTAATACATATTTTTTATCCATAAAGTAAACAACTTTTGATGAACAGAGTACAACAAAAATCAATTGTCAAACAAATTATATCATCTGCAACAAATTTAAGCTTGTCTACTTTGTTTCAAGCCAGTAGAATGGTAATCCCGAGGTTTCAAAGGTATATGATGGGGTTCTATTGGGATGCATGCATTCGGTATGGGGTCAGAACTGAACTGGACTGCGATAGTAAGATAGGCGACTAGGCGATTTGACATGGTAGGTTGGTAATTTACCAAACTTGTTCCATCTCCCTGATTTTTTGTTCCACCTATTTTGGTGGGACAGAATCAATGCATTTTTGTTCCACTCGAGACCTATCCTGTCTGAATCTAAATAGTGTGCCAAAGTCGAACTAAGTTTTTGTACTGTCATGTAATGGACTGCCACGCGTACCAAACACATCCTTGCAGAACTAATAATTGCTTAATAGAGAAGATGCAATATTACCTGAAAGAAATGATCCTTTAAAATACGGTAGAGTAGTTTGCCATTAAATGACCATATGTTGAAGCCATTTTCCATCTCATGCACTGAAGTGACTGAAGTTGCAACATACCTATTAACAGAATCAGCAAAATAAGAAGTTACATCAGCATGCATAGATCAGCCTTCAAATGAGATGAAGCAATTTAGACATTATACTGGACTACTATAAAACTAATGAATATGTATCTTGTTTTTTTTCTTTTAAATACCTCCCAGTAGGATCCCATTCTATGTCTGTTGCCATAAAATGCTCAGCAGTAGCCATTGTTTCAAGCTCATCCACATTATAGAACTCCAACTGTCCGTTGAATCCCTTCAACCCAGCTAAAATGATAAAACGGCCACCAGGTGACCAGAAGAGAGCATTTGCCTGCTTTTGCTTGAGGGTTGTTAGCTTTGATACCTTACCACCCTTCACAGAGTAAAAACTAACATCGGGCCTTGGATTATCACCGTGAATAACTGCAAACCTGTGACCCTTTGGCTCCCAAGCAAATGAAATGACCTTGTCATTCTTGTTGTCAAGTTCAAAAACCTCAATAGGTATGTCACGCTCTTTAATTCGGAAAAGCTCAAAGCCAGTATACGTGCTTTTCTTGGTTTTTGTGTATCGGTCAACCTTAACAGCAAGATACTCCCCATTACTTTGCCAATACATTTTGCAATCACTAACACTGAAGAGATTCTTCTGCCTCAACTCTTCTTTGCCTGGGATTTGGAAAAGACTCACCTATGAAGCACAGAAGTTAGTCCAAAGTACTAAAATTATCAAACATTAGAATAAAGCCGCCACTTGTGTTGAGCTTGATCCAGCCCAAAATGGGCCCTAATCTACAATAAAGATCACCAACCACAAATTTCAATGTAAATTGTGTGTAAAAAATTTCAAACATATGGATTCTTTTACCCAATCACCTAATAGTATCAACTATCCATGTAAAATATAAAACTCAAAAACTTTGTTGGCTCATGTTTGACGTATCTCCTTGCATTACCTATTCAACCTGTTCCTGAGGAAAGATCAAACAAAAAACAGAAAGAAAAAAGCTTCTACCATTGTAAGTCTCATCTATCAACTATCCCACCTTCTACATTCACTTGCCATCAAGCTAGATAATTGATTATAATGAATTTGGGTGTCAAAACACAAAGAGAAAAGTTTCAAGTGTCTTTAGTGATTGATAGTCAGTACATCAGGATGCAGATGACGAGATTTATTCTAGTAATTTTCATAATAGAATAACATATAACTCCTTGGCATGCATCCTGGAGTAAGGACATATTTTATCTTGACCCTACAGTTGTACTAGATTACAGGTCTAAATGAATGCAGACGTGAAATTTCATAACATTTGAACTTACTCTTGCAGGTTGATTTCCACCACCAAGTTCAGGAACAAAAAGTGCAAAAATAGGATCGGTTGGGGACCAACTGAAGTCCATGACATTGTCAACTTTGATGGATTTCTTATCAATAAGACTAAAGGTCTCTGTCTCATAAACAGAAATGACATTTTTCCCCATTCTAGCAAAATATTTGTCCTCTTTACCGCCACCCCATCTGCAAAAGGACAAGCATGTTGCATCAAGAACACGCAAATCCAAAACACATAATACACAAGAATTTCTAGTCTTACTAATAGATCACCTAAATACAGGCCAGGAAACCCCGGTGAAACCTCCAGTTCCTCCAATTGCAAATTCATCCGCACTTCCCTTAAAGTCTCTCATTACTTTTCCAGTTCTGACATCAAATATGTTGAGCACGACCCTCTGATGATGAGCAAATCACAAAGTTAACTGAGATATATGGTGACAATCATAAAAATTAAAAAATTAAAAGAAGAGCTGGCCAGTTAATAGGCTTTCTCACATGAGTATCCCGGGGGTTGCTTGGTTCATGGCTGCTATACGTAACCAAATATTTCTCACCAGGAGAGAAATCAATGAGTTTGACCTACAGTGGACAGAATAACTTCAAGATCATATGCAAAAAACCTGATGAAGAATTAAGCAGCAACTGTTAAAAGAAAAAAAAATCATATCCATAAAAAACCTGCGGATGAGCATAGCGCATCAGGCGGTTAAATGTAGAAGCACCGCCCCACACAGCAGCACCCTGCCGGTGGACCGTGGCCAAGTAGGTCCCCAGTGGAGACCACTGCACAAAACTTTCAGTCCAGAACTGCAGAAAAAGAATAAACCCCAACATAAGTAACATCTTTTCACCTAGAAGGAAAGAAATAAAAATGAAAGATATGCAACCACACATGAGCAGATTAAACATATTCGTTTTTGATGGAAAACTAATTCGTACACTCAATGGATAACAACATATGATGCACCAATAGAGTACGCAAAAGCAATGTAAGACATAAAGGATTTCCATTTACAGGGCGTTTGTAGACAGGATCAGCCTTCACTTGTCTTGCATCATTCCACAGGACCTCCGTGTCTGATCCAGCACGAATAACAAACTGATCTCTACCTTTCTCATCAGTAAGCCAATGTTGCAGATTCTCCTGCAATGTTACACCAAAAAGTTTCAGCGACATTTTCACCTTTGTGTCGTATATCTAAATAACTCCGACACCAGTATATGCAAAGAATGTAACTAATGATGGACAAATTTAATATGGACAAAGGTAACCACATGGCAGTTTATTTATCCTGATTTATAGCAGAAAACAATTCCCCATTCATCATCACCTGTTACTTTACCAGATGACAATACAGACTATTCTAAAAACAAACATTACAGAGAGCTTAATTACTGAAAGAAGATGCTACATCCCAAGGTAAGGATAACATCGCATATAGATCAAACAAGTCAATATCAGAACACTAGCACATACTTGGCAGAAAGCATGACTTCTATACGGTTGACAAGCAACTCTTTCCTTCACATGACCCATTATGTATAATAACTAATGGTATCAAGACCCTGCTTTCGAGCAGCATATACTGGGATTCTTTGGTCTGGTTTGGTGTAACTAATGCTCTCAAGTGAAAAAATAAATCTCTCCCAACTTGGTGCCAATGGTAATTGTCAATCTAAGAGAAAAAGAGGCATCAACCATAGACACAATAAGAAAGAAGTCAAATACTCCAGCCTTGCTGCTGAGTCATCACTCCCCCCTCCAGCGTTGGTACTTGACTTCTTCCTAGGCTGCTTTATTCCTACTATTGCAATAAACTTTTACTGATTATTTATGATTGGCTTATAGTTGACCAAGTACTTCATTTTATATGACTTCTGTTGATTAGTTACTTACAAACTTTTACGAGAAAATTCATCTATACTTGACGAACAGGACGTGGGAGTTTCTTCTCATCCAGCTCCAACTATAACAATGAGTAACTTCTTCATTTTTAGATGGCTGTTACAAATAAACGTACTTCTATATCAAAAAAGTGTATTCGTAAAAATATTTGGAACAGGAAAGGATATTGGGCGGCGTTAAAAGCTGTCATTAGGGAAATCTCTTAAGCTTCGAACTTCAAGATATCATTTATGAATTGTTTTACAAACAACTCATGATCTAGGTGTTTGAAACCACGCAGCCCACATTCTCTTTTGACAACCTTGCATATAGTATAGAACATTATGATGTATTCTCAAGATTCTCCATCTCATTGTCAATAAAGTTAACCATGGTACATGTTGGAAATTCTAAGCAACAACTGTGATAGTTCACTCCTACCTTCACCAAGATCATAGATAGAAATTCAATCACCTAAATGGAGGTTACAGCCCTTAATTTTTTTTTTTTTTATGTCTACATCATATTGCTCTACAAATTCACATAACACCTACAATATTAATAATTCCCTATATATCTTACAAGAATTCAAAAAAACTACCAAACAAAACCATAGAGAAACTACAAGTTTCACCCACACAAAATATTCCACGAGTGGATGACTTCCAACTGAAACTTCAGGAACATGATGTTTAAAATTAAAATTTCATGAATGCTATATGCAGTACAATTATGCAATACCTGAACATGTATATTGCATCTGATAGTAATGATACAAACACAAGTATTACCCAAAATTGAATGTTTGATGATGAAAAGTAATTGCAGGTCATCAGAAATTAACAACTGCTTTCGGAACTACATTAAGGCATGCAAAATGTACTCTAGTATGGATATTCCATGAAGAGCATTAAAAAATATCAGTAACAAAATTGAAGGATATTTCATGACAATAGTCATAAGCTAATTCAAATACCTACCCCTGGTGTGTACGGCTTGATTTCAGGAGGGGCCCACTCATCTGGGACTTTCATGAATTTCTCGATTTCATCAAACATGTTGACAGCAAAAATGTGTGCTCTGTCTAGCTTGTATCCATTGGTCTTCTCCTTAGCAAGCTCAGCTTCCTACAACAAACAATGACCACAAGAAACAAAAGAAAAAAATATTTGATAATAGATCGACTGAAAGATAACTACTGAATTGACAAAATAGATTATATATAATATTTGGAGATCCATTTGACAGAAGTTGCTGCTACAGGCTTGATCATCCCTTACCAAGGAAAGATGCACAACCTACATTTTTACCACTAATAGCCAGAAGCCAATACCCTCTGTGACAATTATTTTTACAAGTATAGAGACACATCAACCCAAAAGGCACAAACATATTATATGGTCAAGCCAGAAGCTGATACAGAAACTACATCTACATCTATCAATGGCTAAACGAAATTGTATTGATGAATATTATGTTTAAAACGCAGAAAACTAGCAACACGATTGCTGGAAAGAGGTACCTGAGGAGTGTTGTACTCAATAAAGCAATAACCTCGAGTTTTCCCTGTGTCTTCCTCAACAGGCATCCAAAGCCCATTCTCCTTAATTACTCCAATTTGGCTGTAAATTTTGCGAACTACACCTTCCAGTTTCTCAAATTTCTCCTGAGGCACAACTGGCAAGTTATCCACAACAATAATATTCCCAAAACCAGCATCAAATTCCAATGAATCCTCCTCATTAAGGTCCTCATCATCACTGAATACACAAAAAACAACCAAGCTTCGGTAAGGGAGCACACAAACTCGCACTTAAACATAATAAGATGCATATGTCAAAGCGCACACACTAAGTCCTCAACTGCTCAAAACAAATGCAGATGCGAATTCAGATGAAACATCCAAAAGCAATTATGTACTCCATATGCAAAACCGTAACGAAAAAGATATACGAGCAATATTCAATCTTAAGGACGTCTTTGAATACATAAAACAAAAACACGAATTTGATCAAACACACGCACATAGAACAAAAGCTAACAAATATCCGGTGTGTTCAGTATTACAGAACTAATAGCTCAAAAACGCCAACATATACATAAAACAACACTAAAAATTGCTCAAGAAAATGAACATAGATCGGCTTGTGCGACATTTTTAGGGTTTTAGCATTTAACCGCCCCCTCAGTGTTACATTTTTCATGCAATACGTACTCAATCGTTCACACGCATACAGTGAGAAATAGGCTCATTAAATTAAAAACAATCAAACAGGTAGAAATATCAGCGTACTATCACCATCCAGATTTCTTTTTCCCTACCTTTTGATGCCAAAGTCTTCACCGGGAGGGAGCCGAACAGAGTTCCAATCAACTGCCGACAAATCGATGTTCAAGCGAGAGGCTTCAGCTCGTATGTCTTCCATTGTCATCACGTCCGCCATGATATCTCAATGCTTAGTGGATCGAGAAGACCGCCAGAGAATACCCCAATCGTTCGTTTTTTTCTTTTGCTATTGATTCAATCTCTTTAGCAAAAACTAGGGTTTCTGATAAATTACGATCGGAGGAGCTGCGCGACTGCGTAGAAGAGGATCACCCAACTTTAAGATTACTGTTATAAACCGACCTAGAGGTCCTTCTTGTTTAAGTAACTTTCACTTATACCCCCTGAATAAAAGTTAGTGTCAATTGCATTTTTGGTACCTATGGTTTGTTGTTTTTGTTTCATTAGATCCCTACATTTTTTTATTGCAAAAAAAAACCTTTATTGTATGCGAAAACTTTTGATTTTAGTCCCCGAAGCTAATTCTGTTAGTTTCCTTCCCGTTAAATCCTCTCATATGACTTGTACATGAGGGTTGTTATCGCAAGATCATTGTTCATTTTCAAAATATTGTTACAAATATTGAACACAAATATATTAAACGCTAACTTAAACTCAAACTCAAATTAAACATATTCACATATGGTGTGATTCTCCCATTTCTTCAAGCTAAAGATCTTCATCGATGGTCTGATTCCCCCACTAAGCACCCAAATAAGTTGATAAGCTTGACTTATCAATAGTTTCTCGATCATGTGATTTGTATACGAGAAAGGGGAATAAAAGACATGTGCATAGATCAAGCGGGGGGTGGGGCCTGAGATGTGTAGGTTAAGGGGTTATGGTTTTTGGCCTTTGTTTGGTTTTTGCTTCAATGGTGGTTGGATGCTTTAATGGCAACGACGGGTTAGGGGTCCCTTTAATGACACCGGTCATTGTGGGAAACTAGAATGGGATAGAAGGCACGGAAGATGATTTGAAAAGTTGCATTAGAGACAAGGGTGCAAGAGACATTGTTTTCCAGGTGTTGGGTTCGTGGAAGTGGGGGTACATGGTTATTGTGGTTTGTCTCCATGTTATATATATACATACATATATATAATGCATGTATGGGCTTAATCAAATGAGAACTAGGTAGTTTGTGATAACCGTGAGATCCACTCTGAGCCAATCATTTTATTATGTTAATTTATTTACTAAATTAATAGTTAAGGGTATATTAGTTAGTTGTTTAATCTAATTTAAATATTAATTTTTTACAGTTATCAATCAAGGATTACGTTTCCTTATTTCTCCCAACAAATTGATTTATGGTATTATTGATTTCTATATTCATTTGGATGAAGATATCGGATTCAATTCACAGTATAATCAACAAGATATATATATTCAAATGTGACATACCAAGTTCACATACCAATTTGCTAACCTTTCTAAAATTGTACTGAAGCTAGGTATTGTTTGGCAAACATAAAATTAGCTTATTTTTTGAGTGCACGTTTGGATGCACATAAGCTAACTTTGAAACACTATTTAGAGTAACGTTTTAGGAACTTATTGTCACTTTTTCCAATGCAAAGAGGAAAAAACACTGAGTAAGTGTTCATGACTCGGATGATGAAGCAAAAAGAACAGTTGCAGTTGCAGTTGCAGTTAGATGCGATGAAGATTATTTGTATAATAAACTATTTTAAGTTTTCATTCAGAGTATCATCCAATTGTGGAAGATAGTTTTGAACTTTTTAAGTTGAATGTGGATATTTATGTAATTTTGCATGTTTAGTAATTTATAAAATTATTTTTCTATTTAGGTAAAATTCTAATAAATATGATTTTTTTTAAATGTATAATATTTCGGACGAAAAAAAAGAACACCATGGATTTCCTACGGATTTCCGACATAATTTAATATATGATTCTGTCGGAAAAGGCCTTTTCAATTCCTATGGATTTTCAACATAATATGCCGTTAGTGAAAGTCTTGTTTTTAGCAGTGATCTAGAGGGGCTTTTTGACGGATATTTCTACCGAAAATCCGTCAAAAATGGGATTTCGATGGAATTTTGACGAATTTTCTCGCCGTTAACATTTTGGTCAAAAATCAATGGTTTTTAAGAGATTTTTCGATGGGGAAGACCCGTCGAAAAACCCATTAAAATTCCAAAGGATTTTCGACAACCATTTCATATATAGTATTTTCAACAGAAATTCGAGGGACTTTTTTGAAGGGTTTTCGACGGATTTTATTCTTCAAGGGATTTTTGACGGATTATAATCTTCGAGGGATCTTTGACGGATTTTAATCTTGAAGGAATTTTCGACGGATTTTATTCTTTGAGGGATCTTTGACGGAATTGGTTTTCAAGGGATTTTCGATATAACATAGTCAACCGTGGTTAACATTTTACAATAAATTTTCATGGGATTTTTGACAGATTTCTATCAAAAATCCGTCAAATATTTCAAGAATTTTTATAAAAAAATAAACTTTAAAATACATATTTTCCCTGTATAGAGTAATCTAAATCTGTCCACACACAAATACAAATAGATTAATCTAAATCTGTTCGCACATAACTACAAATAATGTAAATTACAAACGCAATATGTCTAGCTAAGATCGGGAGGGGGAGAGAATGGGTAAAGCTGATTGCAACACTAGTGAATCTAGCGACTTGCACAATCATTTGCCTAATTCATTCTGCAATGAATCTACTGATGTACATGTTGTTTACCGGTGTACTTGTTGTTCTATTGCTACTCACACCACAAGCTACTCATCTCTTTGTTTAAGCTCCTCCTTTAGGCACCGTATCTTCATTTATTCAACATAAACAATTACTATCAATTAAACGAAATGTAAGTTTGTAGAAGAAAATTGTATCCATATATATTCTTCACTAGAAGTCCCCTGCTCAAAGGACAGTATGGTACTGGATCTAGGCATGGCAATGGGGTAGGGATGGGACGTGTAGGCATGGTAATGGGGCGGGGATGGGTGGAGACCCCAATCCCCGTCCCTGATCCTCATCTTTGTCCTCGTCCCCGTCGCCATCCCCACTGGGAAATGAGGATTTTTTTTTTCCGTTTGTGTAAGTTTTTATTAAATCAAAGTGTGAGACGCTATGCATGTTTAAATCTCACATTTTTCCAATAAACCTAAAATTAAAGAAAATTTAATTTAATACAAAAATATACATCATCATATAATAATTAATAAATCGAAAACCAAAAGAAAATAAATTTAATCTAAAAAAATGAATGTCATATGTACCAAAACATATCAAGTAATATCTTAAAAACAAATCTAGTAATATCCAAAATAGATTGAAATAGAAATTACTATTTACTGATTTAATAGAAATAAATAATATATAATGTAATTTAATTTAATAGTTAACATATATATATATACGGGTATGGGGCGGGGCGGGGCGGGCGATACCCGTCCCCGAGACCTAGTTTAACGGGGACTCCCCGTCCCCGACAGGGCCAGTGGAGACGGGTCGGGGCCAATTCTCATGCCTAGCTGGATATGGAACGGGGGTACTGGTCATCACTCCTGTCGAACATTTGTCCAAAATCTTCGACATATTCCATCTAAAATCTGTTAAAAAATCAATCGGTAATTTTAGAAATTTTATTTTTCATATATTGTTTAGAATCCGTCTAAAATCTGTTGAAAATTTTCGACGAAAATTTCCGTCGAAGATACACAGTTTTCTAGTAGTATGCAAAAACTGAGGTTAAACAAGTACAAATTGTCCTCGAGAGGGGGTTATACAAGTATAGATTATCCCAGTCTTGAGTCCTTTAGAGTGGTATATATGTTGACTCTCCTACCGGAAGAGAAGATGTGGAACTCCTCAGATTACTCTTCAAAATAATCATTATTGAAAAAAGAAGGTTCTAACATATATAGAAGAGAAATAGTCCAGTCTAGACGACGTGAGACTTATATACCACATATCCAAAAAGAATACAAGGTTTCATTGTATTTTCAGGCGTTACAATGGTGAATTTGATGAATGCTATTGTACTCTTCTAAGCTAAGGGGGTTGTCTGTTTACCTCTTAATAGTTTTATTAAGAGGTAACATCTGAATCGTTAAGAGATGAATCTTATTTGGCAAAAAAGAATTCTGCCTCTTAATGATTGTAAAACCCTTTGAATAATTTTGTATGGATCTCCCTTAACCATTAAGAGCCCTGATTTCATTGTACACAATTATCAAACAATTATATTTTATTTTGCACTATATCATGATAATCTCTTAATCATTCTGATCACTTAATCATTCTATATTAAACCATTCAGCAATTGACAAACAGCCCCTTAAGTATATAAAATAGAGCACTTTCAAGCAGGAAAAAGGATTGAAATCATAAATAAGACTTGTTTCTGTGGCATCAATTAATGGAGGGAAAAAGAAAACCAAGCATTATTATGTTACAAAAAATTATTCCAAACAGAATAAATTAGAATTTCAAACATGTTGGCAACCTTCTACTTTTTCACTTCTCCCTTCAAACTTGATGTACTTATACCAGTTTGCCACTAACAAGTAGACCACAAAATCAGCAGTTGTCAAAACGGCTAACAAAAAGTAGAAGTTGTCCAAATGACCCTTGTTTAGATTTCCAGGAATCCATCCAGGCATTCTGTCAGTACTAGAAATCTTCATCACAATTGTCACAAGCAGACTACTCACATAGTTCCCCAGCGAAATTGACGTCATGCATAGCGCGCTTCCGAAGCTTTTTAGCCCATCTGGTGCTTGCCCATTAAAGAACTCCAACTGCCCTACGTACATGAAAACCTCCGAAGCTCCAATAAGAACGTATTGTGGGACTTGCCAGAATATGCTCAAAGTGCTCGACCCTTCACAGTTGGAGCAATCGTTGTCTTTATACTTCAATCTGAAGTGTTCAACAGTGCCTGCTACTATCATTGCTAGTATGGCTACGAGAAGGCCGACCCCCATCCTTTGAAGTTCAGTTAAGCCTTTTGGGCAATTGGATTTCTTTAGACGGGCTACTAAAGGATCAAGAAACCGTCTATAAATGAAAATGAAGGCTGCAACGCTGAGGATGTCAAAGCTGGACATGCTTGCTGGAGGAATATGGAAGTTTGCGATGTTGGTTTTCATTGCAGCTCCTTGTTCTACAAATAGAGAGGCCATTTGGGTGAATACTACGGAATAGAGGATTGTGCATAGCCATACCGGAAGGAGTCTTAGTATGCATTTCACTTCTTCAACTTGTGTCACGGTACAAAGGTGCCATGGGCTTTTGATATCTGCATTCTCAATTGAGTTTTCCTTCGAGGTGATGACCGCAGCTCTATCCAAGAACCTGGTTTCATATAAATCATTAGCATCTATCGCATTATAGTTATCAAGGCAAGGAATAATTTAAACTGCAAAGGAAAAACCCAAATTCCAGATTTAACCAAGCAACCAAATTATAAACACTTGTAATTGTAAATAAGGAGTTGATTTAATTAGGAAAAAAACATACTTAAATCCTTTGGTATGGAGAATATTTCTGCTGCCATTGTTGGGATTTTCTTTGCCATCAACTTCATATAACTCATCACCATCAGAAGGGATCATAACCTTCCATTTCCTGATTGAAGCAACCATCACTTGACAAAATCTTGATAAAGGATTTCCAGTGGGTTCAAAATGCCTATACCGTGGTGTGCCCACAAGGAACAAGATCAACGCCACGATTGCAGAACCGGCAGACGCCCAAAACCCTAATGCCCACGTCCCTTTGTCCTCAAAATACCCTAATATGGTGTTTGAAAAGAGTGATCCAAGATTTAATGCCAAGTAGAAGTAGCTAAAGAATGACACTTTTCCGTGTCCTTCAGTGGGGTGATCCTCATCGAACTGATCTGCACCAAATGTGGCTATGTTGGGTTGGTACCCTCCATTTCCAAGGGCAATAAGGTAAATTGACACGTAGAACATAGCCATCGCAAAGCTTGAGTGGTTCCCACATGGAGTGCTTTCATTGCCGCATCCATCAGGTTTCACCAAAAATATGTATGATGAGAGAGATAACGATATCAAGCCCTGCCCAAATCAAAATAAACTCATCATTTAGCCTCCATTATCCAAAATAAATAAATAATGAAGTCATCATATTGGCTTACAGGGGTTCCATTCTATGAAATTGATCTAAAAGACAACTAATCTTGTACAACTTACAAAGCCAATTAGAACAGTAAAATGATCAAAGTACTGTAGTTTCCAGAAGCTTACAACAACAAAGATGGCCTGGAAGATGGCACAAGTCTTGTAACGGCCCCAATAAGAGTCGCTCAGGAATGCGCCCAAGAGGGAGAAGATGTAGACAGTGCCGGTCCATTTACTCACGTTGTTGGCTGCTTCGGCATTGTCTTGACCCATCACTCTAGTCAGAAATAGAACCAAGTTCACCCCTACTCCGAAAAATGCCAGCGTGGCTAGCCCTTGGTTCACTGTTTCCATATTTTCAAAAACATGTAAGGTATACATACGAGAGGTAAATTTCAGTTTTAGTTGCTCAAAACATGTCATGTACTACGCTAAATGATATGCGACATATATAATTCACAATAACGATAATTAACATGAATACCAAAAGCAAATAATTCATACTAACGATAATAAATTTGGGAATCAGATATATTGTTTATATTATCATTTCAAAAATCTGATATTTCTCGGGTGAAAGTTATTGCTTATAAAAGTTTCTTGGTCTTTAAAAGAAAGCATACCAAGTATGAGGATGGCAGCAAACCATGATCCTGTTCTTTCACGGACTGCCGGTTGGCCTTTCCTATCGACTGATCCGTCCAGAGTGCATTCCTCGTTCTTTTTTACCATTTTCTCCTCAACTTTTTGCTGTACACGATCATGGAGATCATCATTGGGTGATAAATCATCACAAACACAAACTAAAATATATGATTACTCCATAGTAGTACTATCAATTTAAAATAGCAAACTGTCCAAAAAGATTTTGGATTCGATAATCGAGCTAATACCCTCCATAAATAACTTGTTTTCAAGCTGATGAACACCCGAAATGTAAACACAAATCACTTCAAAAGTTTCTCTTTTTGGTCAATTTTCAGAAAGAAGAACAATGAGAAAGAAATTGATGGTGAGAACCAAGGTAAAACCAACCATTTTAACCATGTTTACGCAAGCCATGATGGATTGTTGCTCCTCTTGATGATATGGATACAAAGCTCCAAAAACTAGAGAGAGAGAGAACTAGCTGGAGAGGGGGAGAGAGAGAGTTGGATACAATGGTGATCGGGAACGGGGAGAGATGCATATATATATAGACGTTGAGTACTTGAGTAGGGCTCAAATCTTCATGGAAAACAGATAGTTTGTTGAAACAGGAGATTACGTAGGAAAGTTGGCAGTTGAATTGATAATCCAAACATGCACTACTCGTATCCAGACTTAAAATGTCGTTCCATAAAGTATTAAAGAGGCAGAATAATACAAGGGTAGTGCCTGATTGGTTTGAACTTGATTTCAAAGGTCAAAAGTATTAGGAGGTCACATATTCAAATCCAAAAAAGATTAAAAATCACCTTGTGGCCACAAAGGTTCAAATGCGGTGACTCCAGACTATCTGCAAAGCAGGTGGTCGTCCTGGGATTAATCGACTTGCATAGCGAGTTGGATATCCAGGTTAATAGAAAAAAGACAGAATAAGCAAACAGTAAAACTTTCAACCTTGTTCAAAGATGGTTTAATTTCCATGTCTTCTTTAATTAATAAAGTTGTAGTACTTTCTTACGTCTTTCTGTGTGTTACAGTGAGGATGACCACTGAAACCCCACTTGAGAAACAAACAGAAAAAGATGAGAAAGAGCCACTGGGCTCGTGCGCGTATTACAGTGCTCGTCCATGGTGGAGCCACCGTGGTTCATTGAATGTGGCGTTTATGTAAAAGCGCCAAAAAAGCGGGGTTTTGATATCACAAAGAAGCAATCTCTATCGTAGCTAGTTTCCATGTTTCAAGGCTTAGTGAGAATTAGTGACAAATTTTTTAAGAACACTTAAAAGTCACAACTACGAATTATTAATATTCTAGAAACTTTTAATTTATGAGTTATGCAAGATTATTTATTAGTAAATTAATTTAAACCCATATTTTACCACAGCAAATATAAGTAATTAAGGCAGATTTGATTCAGATTTAGGGGTTGTTTGACAGTTACGGATTAAGTGATCAGAATGATTAAGAGACTCTCATGATATAGTGCAAAATGAAATATAATTGTTCCACTACAACAAAATTGGGTTTATATGACACCCCCAATCTCTAAGCGTCACAAAATAGACCGCTTTATAAGACTTAATTTATATGACCAAAAATATAAAGCGTCTTATCTAAAGACGTTGTAATAAATTTATGTGACGCTTTTGGGTGTCTTAACAAGTTTTTTAGGATATTTTTAATACAAAGTGTCGCATTAGCAACTTTATAGGACACTTTTGAGAAAGTGTATAAACTCAATTTTTTATAGAACACTTGTTTTTATAGGACAAATTTTCAAATAGTGACCTATAAAGTTGCTAATGGGACGCTTTATTTTAAAAGTGTCATAAAAAACTTATTACGACGTCAAAAAATGTCATATAAAATTATTACAACACCTTTATATATAACACTTTATTTTTTGGTCCTATAAATTAAGTCCTATAAATTAAGTTCTATAAAGAGGTCTATTAGGACGCTTAGAAATAGGGAGCGTCCTATAAACCCGATTTTGTTGTAGTGTTCGGATCGTTTACAATGGAATTAGGGTGTTAAATGGTTCAGGGAGGTACATAACACAAAATCATTAAGAGGGTTTTAAAACCATTAAGAGACAAACTCTTTTTTTTGCCAAACAAGATCCACCGTTTAGCGATTTAGAGGTTGCCTCTTAGTAGAACTATTAAGAGGTAAGGAAACAGCCCGTTAGGGTTCATAAATTATTTAATATCTGATTATCCATATTAACATACTGATCTATATATGTTTTCAGTAAGCAAAAAATCTGTCGACGTTAAAATAGAAATGTGCCTTGGTTGGATATAAAGTAAAAACACCGACTGAATGATGGATCACCAAACTTAGAGATGTCTCTTTCATCCTCTCTGAGTTCGTCACCACCATGGACCAACTTCGTAGTTGTGTGTGTGATATAAAGCTGTCTTGATGCGGACGTTATGTTTTCTTGAAACCATGCAGATTTTCTTTTAAAGTTTTCCTTTTCTTAATGAATACAATCATGTATTTGAAGCTTATCTTTTAAGTGTGTATATAATTAGAGTTGAGTCCACGTAAGAGCAACCTGTTTTTGTGAGATCCGTGAGACCACATTCTTACACGGAAGTGGTCTTACGGGTCTTATGAAAACATACATGATCCCATGTCGATATAGTTAAATGGTACAAATATTAAAAAGTAAACCAAGCGAACAAAACAAATTATTTAGGATTCAAGAACATGTAATAAAATTTGTAACGAACAATCTCAGACATTTAGAAAACTTTATGTTAATTAAAGAACATAAGTTTTATTTACATTTGTATTTACTTCTACCACATGCAACTTGAGTATTGTAAGAAGACGAACAAGAAGTTCAAAACCGTCGTTGATCCGTCATTAAAGGCATAATCCGTATCTGATCGTCCATCGTCAAAAGTTCGTAGGTAATGTTATCAACGACGGACTTTAGCAATGGATCAGCGACGAATAGTATTTGCAACTGAAATGTTTCAGCGATGGGCACTTTTAGCGAAGGATTACTAATTAAGGGAAACCTTTCAGCGACGGATTAGCGAGAGAAACCTTTCAGTGACGGATTAGCGATGGATTCTTTCAGTGACGTCCAGACGTTTTGGGTCTGTATTCATTCAAACCAAAAGGAAAAGATTATTGTTTTACGATTTGGGAAGATGATATGAATCTTCATGTTGGTTCAGATTCATCATAGAAGATTTGATTCTTACGGAACAACTATTGAAAATAATTGAATAAATTATATATTTAGATAGGGCCGGGGAAGTATAATTGATTGGTTTTTTACATGTAATTGAATTCAAATAATTGAATTTATAGTACAATTAATCGAGACTAATAAACTAATGATATAACAAAAATATATAATATAATCTCTAATTCACACACGTGTATATATATATATATATATATATATACAGGCCCATTCCTGACATTTTTTAGGCCCTGGGCGAACGTAAGAACAGGGCCCCTGTAATAAACAAGGTTTTTAGCAACGACTTTTGTCGTCGCTAAATGTCCATTTATCATCAGAAAGAGTACACCAACAACATGTCAACGCTATAACTTGTGGCGGAAACATGTTATTGCTAAAAGGCGCATCGTCAAAACTGACTTTTCTTGTAGTAACATTCGGTAAGTACGAAAATAAATTCAATAAATGTTTTTTATTAGTATAAAATTGAGTACAAGAAATGCTAATAATTTACTGAGGAAAAAAATCTTATTTATCTTTATGTGAGTCCTCTAATTTAACTTTCAAGATGAATACAATTTAATACTGATTTTCAGTCCTAACAATATATATATATATATATATATATATATATATATATATATAAGAGAGTACTTAAATTTACGTACTTCTTATTAGGTAATTTAAAACCAAGAGTATAGAAACTATGGTTGATAAATTTTTATAAAAAGTAAGCATTTTTTTATTTCATAACAAGAAATATATGTTATTTTGATATAAAAAGATAATTCGTGTGAATGAAGTAATCATTAGAGTCAATGAGAGATCAATAATAAAGAAGATTATCAAGGTTTTCTTGACAAGTAAACAAATGAGGATCAATAAAAATATAAAAAAAATGATCCATTGTGATCCAATAAGAATAAATAATGAAATTAACATATAATATACAAACTCAACAAATGATTGTTTGAGCACTTAAATAAAATCTTATGGTATAGTGGAATCCCAATGAAAGATACATAAGTCAAACAATCGATGAAAACATTTAAATTATATTTTCCTTCTTTGTTTGCTCAACTAAAATAAGATATTAAGATTTTTTTTTGATTAACCTGGATATCCAACCCGCTATGCGAGCCGACTAATCCCAGGACGACCACCTGCTTTGCAGATAGCCCGAAGTCACTGTATTTGAACCTCCGTAGCCACAAGGGGATTTTTATTCCTCCTTGTATTTGAACCTGAAACCTCCTGGTACTTTTGACCTTTGGAGCCAAACTCAAACCAATCAGGCACCGCCCTTGTGATTAAGATTATAATTTTATGGTACATGACATATATAAGAGACATTACTAAATACATCTAGTAGAAAAAATTTATTCATTAATCACAAAACCATGAAACAAGTCAAAAATGATAAGAACAATAGATTGATTGTCAAATAATAGTAAWATATTTTATGTAGAAGCAAAAATAGATAACAATAGTCAATAAAAACAATTAGAACAAGATAACCAAATAGCAATAGTCAATAAAAGCATAAATTGATAAAATATCCAAAAAATATATATAGCAATAGCAAGCACATGATCTTAACTTTGAATTATTGAAGTACGAAAACAGTCAAGTTTTTAGAGATAGCAATAGCGAATATCATTGGATCTTGTTAGAGATAAAAAAAGTAGAGAGGAAATAAACAATAGCATATAATGAATGACCAATTAATTTTTTTTTCTTCTCCATTGTAATTAGTTGATATATTTTTAAGCCCTTATTTTCTACTAAATTCTTTTTGTCTCTAATTATATGTTACAATTTTTGGATTTCTTTAATTTATTAAAATCTTTTAGACTGCTATTGTAGTTTAGGGGAAAATTTTGGGCCCCTGATATTTTTGGGCCCTGGGCGTACACCCGTGTCGCCCTCCACCAGGGACGGCCCTGTATATATAGGTGGAGGTTCAAACGAGAACCCATGTGATTTACGAGAACGCAAGAACAACCCAATAACCTCAAACTTTTTTAATTAATAAATTAACTTTTATTATATATAAATAATTTAATAAGAACAATAATGTAATTAAGTAATTTTTATAATTTTTATTTTATTTTAATTAACCATAATTATCTTTTCACGTTCCAYGTTTTTCTCTTGGTAGTTATCTTCTTCTCCTTCGTTCATGATAATCTTCATGGCTTAACATCTTTTCTTCATATCACACCTCTATCACATAAGTATCACACTCA